ATATTACCTCTAGTTGTGTTCATCATCTTCCATCCGATATACATTGAACTATTCTTAGAATTCTAAGTTGGTATATCGATTCAACCACTTCTAATTAACGTAATCTTTTAGATCTCCTTCGTTTACACAAAACTTTGTAGTCCCTAATAATTTCATCACGAGTAAAACAGCTCCTTCAAAAATGTCAATAAAATGGTATTTTGTACTCTTGATATAGTTTCTTATCATTCCTAAATCAGAACCGCCTTAACTGAACACAGAGTTTGTGTCTTAATGTAATTCAATACGAGCCACTCAAAGACGCATCGTACGCTATATACAGTCTGGTTTAATCAAATAAATTTCGATTCGACAGTTCTGTGTTCAAACCAAATATTGACGTTTCGGTTGTCACAACGATGCTAAAATTGTCGATGCATTTTTCTAGCTCTTCGAGTATAATAAGATTCACCCATGTGATAGCACTCTCCATAATGTGAACGAAGTTTTCTGCTAAACCGTTAGACTGAGGATATCGTGGAACTGTATATAGATGACGGCATGCAATATCAGTAGGCCAGCTGTTAAATTCTTCCTGTGGAACGAGTTCTATTATCCGTCACTAATGCATAAGCTATACCTCCAAGACTAAATATTTTCCTCAATGCCCTTTGAGTGAAGTGTTCGATAGGACTGTTCGTTAGTACCACTCGTGGCCATTTGGAATACGAACCAATGATAACTAAAATATAATATGAGTTTTTCTACTAATTTATCTGTCTCATTATTCACAGACTCTATCAAACTATATGGAATAAATCTACACCTCAAGATGATGGGCTCTACCTTTACTTCTAAGTAAACTGGGTGAATTTTCATACCTCCTACAGCCTTCGAGCATTGTAAGTCTAGATGTTAAATTAAGATACAGATAGTAGAACCAGTACATAAGGAAATGTATAATCAGACAATGTAAGGCTCTTTAAACAAAGTACAGAAAGACCATACAAACTAGGGAAAAAATATTAACACGACTTCTCTCTTCTTTTCTTCATCGAACATTATTTGTGCCAATAATGGGAAACCGATGGATAATGAAGTCACTAATTGTGTTAGTTGTGGATTTTGAATGGACACCCTTATAAAGAAATCATAAATTTCCCTTAAAAATAATTGACTCTATGCTGTCAGTATCAACAATAGAATTGTCTGTGTTAGCAATTAATTTTTTTAATAATTATGAAGTGCTGAAGCAGGTGGTAGCGAGCGATAACGAATCATTCCTCTGCCCAAATCATCTGGTCTTCATCCATCATCATTCAGTAATTTGTTAGTTAACAACTTGGAATTTTAAAAACTTTTTATGTATACTCAACGTTTCCACACACATGACAGTTTGCATAACGAGATTGACATGGGCTACGAAGATGAAGAATACCATATAACAGACAATGTTTGATGTCCAAAAACGAATTACAAGTGCTTTTCACATCACACACTTGTCTGAATGGATCCCGACTGCTTTTGTTTTCTAAACATTAAAAACCTAAGACTTTTAGTATGTCGATATTCGATAGTAAAACTTCATGCTGTTTCGTATTGTCATCGAATAGATCACTATTAACAGCTTCATAAGTAAAATAGAGGTCTTGAATAATACAAAATTTGGGCGAAGGAATTTGCGTTAGCTGCTTCTCTAATACAGGATCATCTATACCTGCATTTAGGCGGTCAAGACGTTGGATATGCAGCTGTTCACTGAAATCGCACTTAGAAGCTTATGTCTGAAACTTTAGTATGAAATCTTTTGGTCTGGTCTTTAGCGTGAACCAATTTGTTGAACTGTGCTATTTTACGTGTTTCGAATGACTTTGCGTGATAATGATCTGTTAGTACCATTTTTAGTTTGTTAATTCTAATGCCAATGAGTATATATTAGTTTATAACAAATCTTTACACAATATACAACAGGACAGACACATAATGGAACAAACGAGAAAACCTACAACAGGTTACAGAAAGCTGGATTCTCATTCAAGCTGCACATTTAGTTTTAACTCGTTCATGTTTACTATTGATTTTGCTTTTCATATCTAAATATCCCTTAATGTGTGCAATGCAGTAGTTTACTTAGAGATACTGAAGATTTACTCACAACAGCAAGTGTGAATACCACAAAATCATGTTTTTCTCATCGAAATTCTACGGGAATATTCCTGAATGTAATGCTCGAATGTGGTTGACGTCAATAACACTCAATCTCAAATCATCAATGCTTCAGTACCAGAAAAAGCTCATCGATAAATTTGTCTTCAATCCGAAAAGCTTATTCGTTATACAGCCTCCCTTCGTCAAGATAAAACTGGAGTTTCTCAACTTCTAGGTCCTCACGGCCCGTCAGGTAACGACGGCGACGCGGCTAAACTTTTGGCTGAACAATACTCCCGGACATTTCAAACGACCCACATCAAATATACTGATGACAACTTCATCTGCAAATGCACAGGACTTTCCGTAGTGAACCTGAGCGCTGACTTGGTGTTCCGGAAACTGCAGCACTTAAAGAAAGATACTTTTCCTGGTCCGAATAGGGTTCATTTTGCCATACTGAGGGAAGCAGCTTCAATCGTGGCAACACCGCTTAGCGTGATGTTCTCACACTCACTAAGCCGAGGCAAACTACCGGAAAATTGGAAGCTGGCTCACATCGCGCCAATTTTCAAAGGAGTTCGGCTCGGGGAACCTACAAGTTACTGACCGGTGGCTCTTCTTTCTATACCTTCAAAAGTCGTGGAGTCCCTGATATGCGATGATACACATGGCTATTTATTGTCCTTAAATTCATTCTCACACCAGCAGCATGGTTTCAGAAAGGGTTGCTCTTGTGTAACTAACCTTCTGACTGTGGTGGATAGATGGACAAGCAACCTCGATAGCAAGGGGAAGATTGATATTATTTACCTTGATTTCTCAAAAGCTTTTGATAGGTTTAACGATATGTCTTATCAATAAGCTCCAAACGATTGGGTACCAAGTCACCTCTAATTGATTGGCTCACTTCATATCTAAAAAATCGACATTTTAAGGTCAGTGTTAATTTCACTTTATCTCATGTTATGGAATGTCCTCCAGGGTTTGGTTCTAGGACCAATTCTCTTCTTGATTAATATAAATGATCTTCCACAACAGGTGTTGTCTGACTTATTACTTTTTGCCGATGACGTGAGACTTTGGAGAGAGACACGCAACTAAGAGGATATGCAGGCACTTCAGGAGGATCTGACTCGACTTCAGAGTTGGGCAGACGATGACGTATTTGCCTTTAACACTTCAAAGTGTTGAGCAGTCCACCTTGGACATGTCGCAGACCACAGTTACAACTTAGGAAACTCCTCTGTAGTAGTATCTTGAGGCGAAAAAGATTCAGGATTGTTTGTACCTCATGATTTAAAGTTTTAGGCTAACTGTGACGGAAATGCTTTTCGAGCAAACTTTGCACTAGTAACATTGAAGTGCATTTTTGGTCAGTTTAACGGAAGGATTTTCCGCACAATCTTCAACAGTTTTATTCGTCTACACTTAGAATACGGAAACATAGTATTTCCTCCGTCACCTTAGAAGGATAAGGACACTCTGGAGCGTATTCAACAGCAATCCACGAAATTAGTTCGGGAACTCAAACTCAAGCCTTATGAAATCTGCCTCCAATCACTTAACCTTTGCCCATTAGAGCATAGGCACCTATGAGGTGAACTTCTGATGGTTTACAGTATCCTTCACACTTCTGGACTTCCCCTTAAACACATGTTTAGATTTAGATCCAACACAAATTTAAGGGGTAACACCAGAAAATGCAAATACAACATACAAGAATGAACTTTAGACCGAACTTCTACTCATTAAGAGTTTTCAAATGCTGAAATTCGCTGCCGGCTGTGCTAGTCCAAGCGACTTCACAGGAGTCGTTTAAGAGGCAACTTGATATATTCTAAAGGACTGAGGATAGTATCTTACAATGATTTACCAATTTCTTTTTCCTCTTTTATCGTTAACATACCTAGGTTCCTGTCAAAGAATTTGAGGCCTAATTCAGTATGACGAAATGGTGTGATCAACTGGCTAACGCCAAAATCATACCTCATAGTAAGCATATAACGTAGAATGCAATTTCGTCTTATCCAGGTACTATGGCCACCTCGATGATCATACAAAGAACATGAGGTTATTATAGAAATGTCTATGTAAAAGTAGGAACAAGGAACAGAGTGAGATCATCAACGCATGAGCCAGTACATAGCGGCAATAAGTTGGTGCGCATTGGTTGTGACAGACCTTGAAGGGTGTCAGTAAACCGCTTGATATCCAGTGACAGACTGTCGGACAATTTAGCAAGAACCATGCCACTTCACTGACCCGACATTACCAATGTTTATAAAGCTACATAAAGTCTATTGAATCCAAACGCTGGTCGACTGTAAAAAATTCTAGTTCTACTTTTGCACGACACTAGAGTGGAATAAAAGCTTAATCTACGAGTCCGATAATGTTCCTTTATCCTCCAGTTCACTGAAGTTACCTCTGTGGCTTACTTTTCTAGGCCTAATGAACCTACAGCACGCGATGAGCGTGGTGCAGCAGATCTGGAAGGTGTTAACGTTTTCTTCGAAGAGAAGGAGCTTAGTGTTGGCCTAGATGTAGTCAAAACTGTGTCGCTATTGCCGCTGACAAAACTCAGAAACAGAGACAAATGTTAAAGATAAAAGTCAAAAATGAAGACATGCCACTCATATGTCAAGAACTCGAAGTTGTGAAACGGAATCTAAAAGAACATCAGGGCAACGTTTTTCAAACACTGGTCACACTGTTCAAGTAGCCATGATCAAATACTTGTAGGTGCCACAGCCAAGATTTACTTAAAGCAATGTCAATACCATTAAGAGTTTGAATTTCGATTATGTACATCATTTAAGTAAGTGTAAATGGTTTCTGTACAAAGTTCAATCGCTCCATCCGTTCCAATCACCATGACAACTGGTTACTCAGATTTATGAAATGAGCCACCGTCGGATATTACAAGGTTTGACGTATATTAACCCTCTTTTTTAAATATAGACTTTGAGCAGTATCAAAAGTCTAGAACTAAATTTGTACAAACAGTCGCCGAGCTTGCTGTCCAGCCACAAAATATTGATGTTCTGCAGAATTTAGGAGTATTGTCTTTGTTGAGACCACTTTTACTTGATACGGTACCCACAATTCAACAAACTGCGGCTATTGCATTAGGACGTCTAGCTAATCATCGAAAAGATTTAGCTGAAGTTATTGTTAAAGGTGATATCCTACCTCAACTTGTTTATTCACTAGCTCAGCAGAACGTATTTAGTTTAATTCATTCATCTTATTTTATTAGAGATTTTATAAAAGAGCTGCCGCATTTGTACTGAAGTCGATTGCCAAACACTCCGCTGAACTTTCACAAAGTATCGCAGACTGTGGAGCCTTGGATGCACTCACTGTTTGTTTGGAGGAATTCGATCCAGCTGTAAAAGAGGGTGCTGCGTGTGCAATTGGATGTATGGCTAAGCACTCAGCTGAGCTCTCTCAGGCGGTCGTAGATGCAGGTGCTATTCCACTGCTTGTGCTATGCATTCAAGAACCCGAAATAAGTCTTAAAAGAGCAACTGCATGTACACTAGCTGAAATAACAAAACATACAGCTGATCTTGCCCAATCGGTTGTTGATGCTGGAGCAATCGCTCACCTTGCACAGCTTGTACTAAATCAAGATTCACTACTTAAGGTGAGACGTGCGATTTTTTCACTAAAACGCTTTTAGCGCCAAGTATTTGCTGCTTTATCAACAATCGCTAAACATTCTGTGGACCTGGCGGAGCTTGTAGTAGAAGCCGAAATATTTCCAGCTGCATTGGTGTGCCTTAAGGACGTGGATGAAATTGTTAGGAAAAACTGCGGCAACCTAGTCAAAGAAATAGTCAAGCATACGCCAGAACTCAGCCAATTAATTGTTAACTGCGGTGGAATAGCTGCAATAGTTGACCAGATTGGTGATACTAAAGGATTTACATGTCTACCAGGTGTTATGGGTTTGGGATATATAGCTGCTCATTCTGAAACCTTAGCAATGGCTGTGATAGTTTCAAACGTAATTTGTTACATATGATAAACACATCCATTAGGGAGTTTCACAATTAAAATGTGTACTCATAAGGGAATCGAGCGAGGAGATACAGGCTGCCGCAGCTTGGGCGCTTGGTCAGATTGGTCGGCATTCTCCTGAACATGCGAAAGCCATAGCTCAAGCCGACGTACTTCAGAATCTGTTGGAATGCTATCTAAAACAAAATGCATCAGAGGATCTTAAAGCAAAGGTATCATAGTCACTTATATTCACGTTTTCTTTTAGACCAAAAAGGCACTGAAGCTAATAATTCAGAAGTGTATTAATTTAGAAGCACTAGAACCTTTATTGCAAAAAGCACCTCCAAGTATCTTGAAACATGCAGTTGCACAGTTTAGCAAAGTTCTACCACATGATAGCAGAGCACGTCGGTGGTTTGTGGCATCTGGAGGTCTTAAAAAAATACAGGAGCTGAAGGACGACAACGAAGGCTTGTTGTCGGAGTACATCAATGCTATAAACAATTGCTATCCGGAAGAGGTTGTACGTTACTACTCCCCAGGTTATGCTGAGACATTAATGGAGCGTGTAGAAGCATACCAAATACCGATTTGAAATCTAATCCTGAGTAAAGAAATAAAGACGGTTCAAAGACATTAACTTTCATGGAGAAATCCTTATAAAGCACTTAACATAACTTTACAAATAAAAGTTAGTGAGTAATATAAAAAAGATTATGAATTTGAATACCATAAAATGCTTAATACTTTATGTACTTAAAATATATCAATTAAACGAATCCCAGTTAACTAACTGTTAGTCTTATAAAAGAAATGTCATGTCAGGTAATTAGCTAGTGGGATAAACCGACCCTCCACCAACGAGACAGTCATTTCACATACAACTTGGATACCTTAAAACCAAATGTCTTAATCACAGCAAATAAGTCACGAGCGCAAAATTGTTAACAAACGAGGTTGTTCTTCATACTAGCAGACTACTTTTTACCTGTACCAGTATCTTATAAAATGCCTGTGACATTCACTTCACTTATTTGGAATCTCGTCACAAGATGAGCAATGAGGTTCATATTAGACGTTATTTTATTGAAAAAACAATTACATGAGCAGAGAATGACAAAATAAGTTAGCAAATGGGAACTACCACTCATTGACTACACCAGGTCAGAAATGTAACTGTAATCAAAATTGGGGATATTTCTACAGAAAGACTGTGTATTTAAATAAAGCAACTTTTGATTTGGAAAAAGAATTATAAGTACGACAAATATAGACATTTGATCCTAATATATTTTACATGATCAAGATAAGAAATGCTAATAAACTTATCATTACAACCAACCTCGAATGATTTTAGAAAGCTAATGAAGTAAGAGGTTGCGTCCTGGCAGGCGGTAGCTGTGGATAATTTGCACATTCCTCAAGCACCTGTTGAAGACTGACAGCCTTATCAACCGCCTTGCTATACCACACGTACCCTTCGGATTAACTTACGAAGCCACTGAACGATACATCACTATTACTTATAAAACACCTATACTAGTCACCGGTTTCTACCTGTTTCTGAAGCCCAAGTCTTATGGTCATAAAACAAAAGACAATGGATTTCGAAGCAGTATATTGGTTCTTCGGTTGACAGACATCTCGCCTACGTCATAATTGATGCATGTTGGAAAAAGCCAAGAACGCTTTCAAAGTCCATGCAGCGATTTAATCAGATAAAAACCTACCACGACCAATGAGACATCCAAGATAATTGAAGTAATTCGCAAGGTCGAAAACTTCACTCTCTATCATCAATTTAGATGACAAGGACTACTCCTTAAGCCACATTTTGCATTTAGAGACGGAGAAACTCACTTCAACAATACGTAAACTGTTGGATTATCATACGCTCTTCATTAAACAGATAAGCGAGTCTCCTGGTAGATGACCCTCTGGAAAGTTAGACGGAGTTATATGTAAAAGAAACTAAGTAAAAATGAGGGTAGTGGGTAGCTCCGATGAAATGCTGAGTACTTGTTTTTTGGAAAGGGATAAAAACAAAAGGTTATATAAAAAAGTATTCCGAGTATTTGATTATATTGCTAGAACAAATAATCTAAAGGAAATGGTGTTAGCCTATTTAAAAACACGTTCCCAAGAGATACACGGACTTGGATTAGATGTAAACGCAAACTCAAATATAACCAAGTCTAGATTAAACCTTTTAGCATGTTGACTTTGATAGTGCTATTCACTTATGAAAGTGTATTTTGAAATAAATATCGTCCTACTAGCCAGCATATTAACAAATAAATAATCAATTTATGGAATAAACTTAGCCATTTTGAATTATTAACAGATGTTTAAATGTTTAGTTCATACATCTAAATGACGCTTTTTAACGGCATAAGGTGAAATAAGCAAGAACAAATAATTACCCTATTACCATCATTCTTACTTTATTTCATCAACTTGGAAAGTATCATAAAGTACAGCAAACACCGTATAAGAGTAAAGAAAGATATATTTGTGTATTTTTAAAAAAATAATTATTAGTATTAACGAACAAATTGATCACTTTATATAAACATAATAAATTACAGCTATGCATCATAAGAACAATTTATATTAGGTAGGATATAGAAGTATTTGGGATACTATAAAAATAGCATATACATATTCGCAAAATATTACATTTTTAATATAAGTGGAAGTTCTAAAAATAAACCGATAAAAGACAAAATATAAGTATATATAGAAAGAAAAAAATGTCAAATATCTGATATACAAACGGGATGCTTTACTGAATCACTTAAACTATCTATCACAGAAGGATTTGAACATACTAACTGGATTGGTATATCCCACACAAATTTTTCAGTTTTTAAGTTAATTGGAATTGTCCATACTGTACCGTATTCTCTTTTTAAACATGATTTACCGTGAAAATGATCTAACAAATTATTTTTACTATTATCAGATATTAAATCAAGCTCTAAGTGTAAACGCCATCGATAATCTAAGGAAATAAATGGACTAGTTAAACTAACAGAATGAAACTGTGGCGTTATATTTGTTGGAATAGGCAATGTAAAAGGTAATAACAGTTTAGATGTACAATATAACTTTATATCTGTCCATGTAGTATGCTGTGTAGAGCCTGAAATAAAAAATAACACGATTAAAGTAAAAATAAATTAGGATGCATAGGATATATAACGAATGAAAACAATAACTACAAATAGATAAGAATAGCGGAGATAATATTAGGAACTATTTACTAGTATATACACTGTGAGTTTTATAATCAACTACACGGACTAGCAACACAGAAGCAGTTGGATGGGTGAATCTATATAAGCCACGCTAAATGAGGTGGTCAGACGATTGAAAAATAAGATTCGCATCTTAGCTAAAGTAAATGCATTCTATGGAGTTATTCCTTGATATTGTTACACTTTCACTAACATCATTTTTAACTTTCAATTTCGAAAGCAGAAATCTCTCAAAAAGTTATTGTTTGAGTCTGCATCTTTGGCTGCTTCATGTGATCGGTTGTACATGTTGCTATACATACTATCCTATTAAACAGAATACGAAGTGTTTAGTCCATCCTCTGATATTCTTAGAGAAAATGAGTTTATAATCATGTCCTAGGGTTTTCAATATATTTCTTACTTCAAAGAGGTGTATAAAACTGTAAAAGAAGTATACTTTTCCAGTTATATTGGCCTTCTGTATACAACTGGTTTTAACATTCTCACTACAGACATAAATGAAGAATGTAACTGCTGTCTTTCTAGTGTTGAAACGATTAACTCTCTGATAACGTTTTATTCAAACTAAAACTATTTGCGAAAATCCAGAACAAGTATCTGCATATTGCTGATACCGAACAGCCAAAAATTTACTATTTTACTACCCGGCGGAAATTTCAAAGTAAATATTTCCAGATTTGTTAGTAAACTATAAGGCCTATTCACTAAGCACTGACTCTGATAAACAGTCGTAGTTACTCCCAATAAACTTAGAAAACCAAAATTTTATTAAAATGTTTAAAAATTCATTGGTAATGATCATAGTCTACCAAGCTAGAACGAACGGCTTGTCAGTATAATGATATTATGAAGGTGAACGACCGGTTGCGGATAAAACTTTTAGTTTTCTCCTCATGCACAGTAGTTAAGATATATTAGCACAAACAGACAATCAACAATACGTGCAGTTTCCATAGTTGAACTTACCTAAAGGTTGAAAATTTGTACATAAAGGTTGACCAATTTTAGTTAACGGTAGGCATCCCATAGAATAATTCTGAACCTCATTTCTTCTACTTTTAATTCTACAGTTTGGCAGGAGGAAAGGATTTTCATGGTGAAGCATAAATCTCTCCTCACTTTCAAGTCGTATTACACAACTAAGACATTTAACAACAGCTTCATTAAAGTCAAAATAACCCCGTACCATATCACCTAAACAGTATAACGTACGTTGGAAAGATAATCGTCCGACATAACCACGTGGAGTAGAAATCACGAAGTTAGCTAAAAACAAATTACAAAACAGTATATTTGAAGTGTGCAAATACGAGGAAAATAATCTTGAAAGCAAGTGGGAAATAATTTACACAGTTGATTGATATGAAGAGTTTTGTTTCATCACTGTTGATATTTAACACTAAAGTGATCGACCGAAACATGTTTGGAACGTATTAGCTGAATGTGTCTGTGTTGCAGTGATAAAGACGTATATTTAACAGTAACAACTGTTCACGTTGTTGATAATTCCACGTCATATTTAGTAGAGCAGAAATTTAGTTGAGTCAGTTATGATTGTGGTTTAACCAATAAAACGTTAATCATAGTTATAAAACGCATACCACATGAAGTCCATTAAAGCACAACAAAATACTGTTAAGTGAACAACGATTATTTTCCAAGTGTACAATAACTTCGGTAATTCTATATTGACTCTTGACAGTAAATCCAAGTTATTGATAACTAGGAATATCCTCCGAATAAATAAAGCTTTTCTGATATATGATGAAAATTTGCTCTTAACTGATGATGTAGAACTGAGTAAATACGTGATGGAGTATAAAATATCAAGTGAACAACAGTGACACAAACTTTGTATTCAAATATTTATCATTTAATGTGAAATATCCAGAACGACATTCTATAAAAAAATGTGATCAGCCATAAAGATCATGATAAACAATCACGATTGATATGGTTCACAGGAAATACACCCACCGGGTGGTGAACATGCTAACAGATTCATTAATTCCATATGTGAACTGGGATAGATATAAACTTCGTTTGATTTTTCTGGAGAATGGTCTGAGCAATTCGAGTTTTCACACCGGGAAACATTATGAGACAAAGAGGAATATATTTGACCGACTGATTTATTAGTATGTGTTTCCGTATCTTCAAACAAAAAGCTGTTGACTTCGTGTGATTGCAAGGAAAAGCCTCCATCAAAGCCAAAATTAAAACAAGAGTCTTTATCTCTGGTATCAGGAACCCAAAACGGATTTGACAAGTCGGGAGAGTATGTTTCTTTCTTGTCATCACATTCTTGAAGTCTTAAGCTGTGATACATTATTGGAGAAGGTAAAACACGAAGAGGCAACTGAATAGTATGCGTCTTGATATCTGAGTTCAGATATTTTACTTGAACTGCCACAACCACCTTGTACGCGAACTTAAATAGTGTGCCACGAATACTAGGTGAAAGATTATACGGTAGATAAGCACACAAATTGACTGTAAATTTAAAAACAAGAAATAAGAACTGTCACAAAAAATGAGAACAAACAAGAATATGAGAAATGTTTACATATAAATCCACAAAAATGAAGATGAGATACATTTCATTTTTGGTTTATTTTCTACATTGATTCCGTTCTTTTTAGTCAACTCATCATCTTTATTCGATTTAGTTATGCATATAGTCCAAATCGTCGTACATGAAAGTTATATTTCTTTACTTAAGCAAGTGTTATTATTGTTTAAACTATAATATAAATCAATGTTTTTTTTTCACTGATAATTATCGAATACAAATTGAAATGCTTTAAATGATATACTTTCTATGCAACTCGATATTTTCCAATTCCGAAATGTACAAACAAAGATCTGGTTTTTTAGATTATTTTACATGGAAGTGTGGTATTGGTAAAAATTTCATGCGAATAATTAGTGACCACATTCAGTGAAGCAATAAATACCCTATAATTAGCATAAAATTTAGATACAAAATACTCTCCAAAACATTTTCAAGGACTAATTTCCTTCATTCTATACAATTTCATCTGCAAAAGACCAGAATATTCCAACTTTATTAGACTCGACACCCGAACTAATGATAGGGAGTGAAGTAGTTGAGAGTGTCGACCGCTTCACTTATCTGTGAAGTCTCATCAGCCCTTGTGGTCTGGTGTGTGACAAAATCTCAGCACGAATACAGAAGGCTCGATCAGCCTTTGCCAACTTGCGTCATTTGTGACGTAGGCGAGATATCCGTCTATCAACCGAAGGACGGGTTTACTGCGCAGAAGTTCGTTCCGTCCTACTTTATGGCAGTGAAACATGGCCGGTAAGAGTAGAGGATATTCGTAGGTTACTAGTATTCGACCATAGATGTCTTCGAAACATTGCTCGTATATCCTGGGACCACCGGATAAGTAACTCAGTTGTTAGGAAACGGGTACTAGGTAAGGATGGCAAATCAATTGATGAAGTAGTGAAACTCAATCAGTTGAGATGGCTAGGACATGTGTTACGTATGCTCGACCACCGACTACCCCGACGTGCGATGTTTTATGGTGTAGGAGTAGGTTGGGAGAAAGCTAGGGGCGGCCAGACCAAAACACGGCACAAATCCATGAAGTCACTGACAAGTGGACTGAGCCATGTTAGTAGTTGTAGACTACTTGGTTGGGGTCCGCGAGACGATAGCAACCGATGGTTAGAGATCTCGAATGACATGGCTCAGAATCGTTTTCAATGGCGCAGGTGCATCCACTCTTTGTGTTCTCTCAAACTCTAATCTTCTGAATTCTTCATGTCCTTTATCTTTCTAAATCTATTCCTCTGGATTATACTTCTTAAATAACATCATCAAACCCTAATGTTCCCTATCACTACCTCTACCACTACGGGATTTGAATCGATAACTGAATCTCTGTGCTAAAGTGGTATGGCAACTCGAACTGATGTACGTACGTACGAAGTTACACGTTGTTACTGACTGACTTTGAGGCTGAATTTGTAATGCTAAGTTTCTGCTGGCAAATAGACTTATCAGTTATTTAGCATTTCAAATATGAAAAAAGGGTTTAGAAAATGTGAGTAAAATGACAGACAATACTAAAAATCATTACCACTTGCAAAAACTGAGTAAATAGACTTTTGAAATTTACCGGGTCCTTTGAAACTATTATCTGGGATGAATTTCACATGCATTGGAATGATACATATTAACTGACTTTTTGACTCTAATGTAGAAATGAACAATGATTCAGCATCGACTACATGAATTAGAAATAGGAAAAAAGATTATTCAGCAAAATGCTATAAAACCTTCAAATTATTCGTACCAATTTGACTGGTCATTATAACAAATTTACAAGAAAAATTTAAAAGGGGACTGGGATACTTAGAAATATATTAAGTTGTAATTTGAGGTTTAAACTAACTCCTTCACCAGGTACTTGGGTATGAGTCACACTTTGAAGGTTAATGACACTACACTGTCATTGAAATCAAAGGTGTTGGAGTGGTGTTTGAATTAAGGGGTTAGCGGTTGAGGGCAAATTACTGATATTTAAACAGTTGAACAGTACAAACAGATGTCTTCTGGAGTTTAAACTCAATTTTTTCCCACTTCAGATGCGAGTGTTAAAAATATCGCTGAAGCTGTGGTGTGTGCTACTTATGTAGACATAAGTAGTATATGACGTGAGCACTGAACAGAATGTCTGGCGGCAGAGAGATAAGAAGATCGAACATTAAAGAATGAAGACAAAAGGCAATTTGTACGAAAATGCAAGAACAAGGGGATTCTGAGTGATTTGAGACAATTGATGAACAATTTGCAAATTAACGATTCAATATATGGTTGTTTGATTTTACTAACTAGTTCTGTAATTGGTTGTTAAATACATTGGATTATCCCCACTGGTGTTTTATTTCACTACAAAGCCTTTATACAAGAAAATTGGTAGAACAGAATTCAATTCATAATTCAACAGCTGTGGATTTAATGTCTATAACACCACGTTAAAACTCGAAAATACTAAGTTCAATAATACTCACCATAAAAATTAAAGATGAAGTTGATGTAGTTAAAGAAAAATGTGCACTAAAATTTACCTTCTCATTGAGAAAAATAGTGAGCGAAAACCTTTACTATTTCAAAACAAATTACTATGGAATTTTTTAAAATTCGTGATAACAGAGGAAATCTGATTTCCTAAAGATAAAAACTATTATTCAAGTAACCAAGTATACATTTACGTACTTGTCTCTGAGCCATATTTATTATATAAGCATTAATAGTAACACTCAGGTTCCCAAACCAAAGTGCAGTACATAGTAAGCAAAGTATTTTAGAATTATCGACACTCATTCATAGACACTAGTCATTAGTCTACCAACTCATGAGTAAAAATTGTGTTAAGAACACAGTTTGTTTGAATAACGGCGTGAGAGTTACGGTGTTTTGTCACGAACTGAACTTAATCCATCTCATTACATATTTTACAGGGTATTAATTTTTGTATGTAAATTTCCAGCAGAAAAAACTGGTGTATCACGTCATAACCGAAATGAATCCATCTATTTTTGTATCGAGTTTTATTTTAGTTTTTTGAGGATTTCTTATTGTTCACACTGCTTTTTCCAGATTTTTTTTGTTTATTTATCCTCCCAATACTTTTTAATTATGGAAAATGACTCGACAATAGAATATCAAGTAGTTTATGTCGACCTATATGCTATTGAATACAATATTGGTCGAAAATACATTTCCTTCTTATTGGTAAGTGATAATTTATATGACAGTTAATCAGTATTTCTTATAGCTACATGATAAAAACGAATTTTAAATATGGAAAAATATACATACAGTTTAGTTTACAATTATATTTCCACTCAGAAGTACTAAATGACAGTGATTTTGGGGACGCCTGGTTCTGTGTAGTCAGTTGCTTATTGTCCAACTTACATTGACCAATGATACAGCCAACAATACCAGTAAGTGACCTTCAAAAGAGAGAAACAGAAGTGAAAATCAGTAAGGATAATTAAACAAAAAATGCAGATATACTGTAGCATCTAAACACTCTGGTAAAGGATATTTGCAATGAAATTAAGTTATGTTTGACAAATGACCTGATACGAAAGCACGAAAATCAATAAATCGAAAAACAGTCCAGAACTGAATTCATGAAGAAAAATAACACTTGATAACAGAAGCGATAAAAGACATAGAACAAAACTGGTCATCTTTTACAACTAAACAAGACGGATTGGTTACTAGAGAACACAAAAACAACAAAATACATTTTAAAAATTGGAAGAAAAACAAACCATTTATATTCCTCTCTAACTATATCTGAATTCCCGGGAAAAGTTATTTCACAGTTGACGAAATCTCCACCTGAATATACGCTAGACCCAATCAGTTTGGCAGCTAAATCGAGATTTTTTCCGTGAGATGTCGATGACATTTATCAGCGTAAGAAACCCTTGAAATGACAGAATATTGGCATCCAGATGAAAATAACCTGGTAAATAAAACAATGTTAGGGGAAAATTACACTTCCGATACATATCAACCGCGTCAACATTCCAAGTTAACAGACTTAAAAATGTGGATTTGACTACATTTTAAAATCCGAATTGTAAACCAGTAAGGAACTCTCGATGATCTCGAGAGTAACTGCGTTTACTCATAATGAAGGGAAGATTTACTTCCACGAGAAATAATTTATTATGCGACTAATGATTCAGGGTATGTAGCTACAATGTATCCGCAATGTACAGAGCGTCTAGATTTTTCCGTGAGGTTTAAGGATAAAGGCTAGCAAAAAATCCAAAACCCAGAGACATGGGTCACTGGGCTCTGGATTATTCAAACAACGGATGTGGAGTTTGAGTCAGTAATAATTTTTATTCTGCTAAGATACTACCATTTCCGTTTCAATGCCCTGATATACTAATTTTTAGTTGTAATTTCGTAAAAGCATCAGAATATGGATAAACCAAAAGTTGCGAAAGCTATTTTATCAGACAGAAAAGCACCTTGCTACGTCGCTTTCAGAAACTTTTACTGACCCTAGTGAGAATAACAGGGAGTCTTATTTCCCGTGTTGCCGCTTAAGGATAAATCACTGGATAAAAATTCAATCGACCTTTAATGGGTGTTGGAAGTGTTTGAAGCCATAAATGGAAACGACTGTCATGTCGAAGATTATTAAAAAGGCTCATTTCGTTGACTTACTATTAAAGTATGGAACATGATATTTGATGTTGGAGAGAGAATACTTCTGGATAATTGTCACACGAACGTGAGTAGGATAGAAAATTCCATAAAATGTTTTCCATCAGCTTCATACACATCAGACACTGACTTAATTCAATAACCGAATGATTTAAAAGAATTGGAAGTGTATGTAGGGTGAATTGAATGGGACAGGTGGTCTTAAGAACGTCACTATGACCTTGAGCGTGATGCACTCTAGCTTAAAAATGAAATGCGAAATCTGAATTCTTTCTATTCTGGAAGTACTAACTGTAGTGGTGGAATACTGATAGCAGTGTATGTAAAGACATAATAAAACCCCGCGGATAAATGACACGCTCAGTGGATACACAAAATGAACTTGTAATAATAAAAGCAAGTATTAGGATAGAACAATAACATAATACAATTAAAACTAATAAACAACTCGAACAGTTGGCTGGGACTGTTGTTGGAGCGATGAGTATAAATTTTCAGCTCAATTACCTTCTAACTAACTGCGACTGCGAAAAAACGGTTATTGATCTAAACAATTAATCAATTAGTTACTTAATACCATAGATTGTCCCTATTTCATTGTGTTGCTACTGAGTCTTTTCAAACGTACCACGTAACGCGAAAATCGAAACAAGAGCGGAGTAATCCTTACTATACAATAACAATGTAACGAGTTAGTGTAAAGTAGACAGTGCATTTTTACTCATGTTTTGATATGAAGCCATATCTTAGGGTGTTTGATCAAGCAAAAACGTGGTGTTTTAGTTACACAACCTAACTACTGGTGAATTCAGATTCAGATTTTGTAGTATTGACATTAGGCCTGCGGCCAATGTTATTCCTATTCTAGAATATTTCAATGATTGTCCAATCTCTTTTCGAATGAGTGAGCTAGAGCTGCTGGCACCACTACTTTGGGAAACAGGTTCCAAGAATTGATGACTCGATGTGAAAACCTTTATGCCACGGGTATTTTGTTCGTTCTTGGCTTTTCTACTCGCCTGCTATGTCCTCTGAGATGTCCCGATCTAGCGGGGAAAAAGAGAGAATATATTAGGTTCGAAATCGTGTCTTAATATTCTTTACATCGAAATTAAAACTTCTCTTAGTCTGTGATAGGACAGAATAAAGAAGTTTAGTTTTTCAAGCCGCTCTTTGTGTGTTAAGCCCCGGAATTCTTAAATTATATGGGTCGCAGCCCTTTGCACTTTTTCCAAGATATCCGAGTCACCTTTTAAACAGAGGCTTGCAGCCTGAATGTAGTTCTCAAGCTTAGTTCTCGCTAACTTTGTGTATACTGTAGTGAACATGTTAGTAGCTAACCTAGTGAATGTACAAGAGGGTGGTAAACCCGTTAGCTGAGACTTCCCTGCAACGGCCTGTGGTCTTAATATTATGGCTCACTGTGACCTCAAGATCCTTATGAGACCAGACCAAGGGTACAGGCGCTTCCCATATGCTGAAGTTATTAACCTTTGTATTCCCAAAGTGCATGTGGACACACTTTGCCTCGTTGGTAGGCATCAGACACTCTTTAGATCAGTTAATCACATTATTTAAGTCTGCCTGAAGTGCGCATACATCTGCGTCTCCCGTTATTACCCACCAGATTTTTACATCGTCTGCACACAATAACATTATAGACTGTACTAAACTTGGGAAATCATTTACACACAATATAAAAAGTAAAGGACCTAGGACAGAACCTTGAGGTACTGTACTAAGTACTGGTCTCCTGGTAGAACCCTTGGAACTCATATTTACATTCTGTCTACGACCTTTTGGGAAACCCTTAAGCCATGTTAGGAGTGGTCTGGCAATACCAAGATTTTCTAACTTCAAGAGTAGTCTATTTGTTGGCACCTTGTTAAATACCTTACTGAAATTTATGTGGACAACATCCACTGAGTTTCCGTTGTCTAAAGCCTTTATCCAATGCTCCCTTGCTATAAGGAGGTTTTTTGTGTAAGATAAACTTTGTCTGGAACCATGTTGTTCTCTTTTAACCAAGGTTTTGGTTTCCACAAATGCCGTTATGGTCTTTTTGACTGTTCTTTCCAATTTTAAATTACAACGCTGGTGAGGCTGACAGGTCTGTAGTTCGATGGAAGTTGTGTTGGTCCTGTTTCCTGTATGCGAGTGACGATTGCACACCTCCAGTTTGTAGGTAATACACCATGGTCAAGAGACATATTGAACATCACAGTCAGTGGGATTGCGATATATTGTGCGGTCTCTCAGGATTTCGGGGTGTAGTCCGTCCGGTCCTGTTAACATTCTAAGGTGCTGAGATCCTAAAGCACGTCATATCGATCAAAGTCCACCGTGAGCAGGCTGTTTGTTGACTTTGTTTTTGAGTCTAGTTCTTCGACTAGAAGATGTTCATGAGTATAAAACGCTCCAAAACAGTTGGTCATAGCCTATGCTTTTTCCTGATCTTCCTCTATCATTTCAGATTCACTCTCTTCTTTACTTAGGTAGGAAATTCAATGGTGCATCTTTGTTCTATAATTTATGTACGAGACCAGTCTCTTAGGCTACTTGAGTGCAGATTGTGCCAACTGAATTTCATGATTTCTCTGAGCTTCCCTGTTATTCGAGGAATATATGTTAACTGTCATGTAGTGAGAACGAATGACTGAACTTCTCCCAGGCACATGATATTATCGGAAGACAGCTATCACATAACAGGGTTTTTCTGGGAAGTCAACCAAATGAAATTCACGTTAAAAGGTCCCTTTTGTTGCATACTTTAAGACTCTTCCCAAGAAATTTATCACCCATTTTAGAAGAGTAGGTGTAGATCTTCATTTTGCAAGGTGTGATTGTTGAGAAAGCCCAAGTAGTCAGGAGACCTGATTTCCTTCTAACATGCTCTATCTAATATTGTAATATTTTACCACCACTCCTTGAATGAGACACGTCTCCTCCCCCTTACAGCTATTATATATCGTCCTCTTCAGAAATCATGATATGACAGAATTAGACGACGTTGGCGTGCCCGTTGTTCTAGATTACAAACAAGGAAGTCAGGTGACAGCGGTAAGGCAATTTAAAATATGTGTTGCGAATTCAGGCTTTTTATGTGTTCACTTAATGTTATTACCGGATTATAGAGCACGCAAATGAGTTCGTTTATGCCGATCAGACCAATGACATCTTCGGATCATAACACAAATGGCCGCGTGCGATTATCAGAAATCCCAAGTTCTATTGGTTAACACAGACTCCTTTATCCACGTTGGCTACTCAAAGACGAAGTTAGTTAACGAATTTACCTACCGTCTTGACACGGAAACTTACAAGATTATATGACGTGATCGCACTGCACCACAGATAAAGTTTCATAAACGTGCATCACGTAATATTACATTGAGCAAAATTGAGTAGTGGGTGGATGCTCAATTCGTTGTGGCTCTAGAGCAGTAAACATGCAACAATATGCCGAGTATTTCAGAAAAGCAACCACCTTGCTCTTCGGATAGCTAATGCCCTGAATGAAAATGGTGGTACTGAGAAAAGTGAGAGAATCTGTTTCAGTGAATCAATTATGAATGTTTACAATAATGTTATGTCAATCGATCCGATGAAAGACTAAGTCAAGATCATAGGGCAGTGTTTCGCTTTCTGAAGGTATTGGAAATAAATACTTGAGACGTGTATGTGTAGAATTATGGTCTAATTTGATTTAATCCAAAAATCTTAGATTTGTCATGATGTAACTGCCTAATCTATAAGATCTTACGTTGAAGTCACGTTATTATCTACACTTCCTCATCGCATCGTAACAATCATCAATATATGATAAAGAACACACTTAGACCAGAGACAAACAATATATTCAATATGAATAAAAGGCATATAACAACACTAAACAATGACCACGCCTGGAACTTCACCAGAAGTACATGAATCATGAGGACAACGCATATTTCGTAAAATAATATCATGAATCTGACCAGAATATGATTCATCTGAAACATTCAACTTAATAGGATCGGAGTTACAGAGTTTAACATTAGTTGCAGCGAAATAATTAGTTGTTTTACAGAATGAGTTTGCCACACGATAAACAATTGCCAAACTTGTGCTAATCTTCGTGACCTACTTCTCAACCCTTCAATGAATTGTTATCAGTAAAACCTTGAGTACGCATTGGATTGGGATGGCGTAGTAATGTAGTGGAATTCTTGATGTTATGATGAAGCC